CACTTGATTTTTCAGGAAAGGTTGTCTTAAACATAGCATACCTCGCATATCAGAACCAACCTAGAGCATGACAACCATTCATTTTCATGCCATCAGCAACCTCAATGTTCATTCTCATCTTTGGCTTATAAGAAGAATTCATCAGGTATGTGTCTCTGAATCTGAGACGGTTCTGTGTGGAGCTGATGTGGCTTTTTTTAATTTTTGAATGCAGATGCTACATGTGTTGGTTGGATGAAGGTGGTTTTGAAGTATTTACTAGACGGCCACCTGAAACCTGAATATTGAAGCCAATCAAAACAACAGTTCCCCTAGTGGCTTTATCCGGTATAGGACTAATCAACTCAACTCAAATTTATTTATAAATCGCGCCTTACAGGCAAAAAGATGTCACCAAGGCGCTACACTGATCAAATAAAAACATAAAACATTAAGTCCAGAAAATAAAACATTGTATCACACGATACAGATAAAAAATACAATGAGTAAAATCGCTATAAGTAAAACAATAAAACTAGTTAGAAAGGTTAAAAGACAGGTCATAAAAATATGTTTTTAGCCTTGCCTTAAAAACCGCAACAGAGGTGGAGGCCCTTATGCCCAGAGGAAGCTTATTCCAAAGCTTAGGACCTGCCACAGCAAAGGCCCTATCACCACGCGTCTTTAGATGTGTTCTTGGGACCGAGAGGAGCATAAGGTTCTCCGAGCGGAGTGACCGTGAAGGGGTGTATGGTTGAAGTAGTGACACCAAGTAAGGAGGGGCCAAACCATTTAACGTTTTAAAAACTAGTAAAAGTATTTAAAAATGAATCCTAACATCAACGGTCAGCCAGTGAAGCGCAGCCAGGACAGGAGTAATGTGGTCAAACTTGCGCCTGCCCTCTAAAAATCTGGCAGCAGCATTCTGGACCATTTGCAACCTGGCTATTGAGCCCTTGCTCACACTGAATAGAACAGAGTTGCAGTAGTTCAATCGCAACCTGCCCAACTATGTAAATCTCATCGTCCCGACTGAGAAAAAGTAGTTAAATTACACTTTCCCCAGCGTTTCACTCTTTAATTCACACAGTTCTGATGTTAGAAGTGCAACTATTATTTATAAAAATATTGCTATTTCTAGTTGGTTATTTGATGCTTAATGAAGTGTAGCGTGGTAAGGAGGTTGAGTAGCACTGTTGCCTCCACAAGCAGGAAGGTTACAGGTTCAAATCCTAGCTGTGGTCTTTCTGCATTAAGTTAGCATGTTCTCCACTTACATTCATGGGTTTCCTCCCACAGACCAAAAACATGCATGTTAGATTAATTAGTGACTAAATTGTCACTAGGTGACTGATTGCTTGTCTCGTTTGACACTGTGTACCTGTGATGGACTGATGGCCTGCCCAGGGTGTCACCACTCGCCTGGTGACTGCCAGAGATAGGCACCAGATCCCTGTGACCTTACTCAGTTTTAGGTGGGTCTGATGAATAAATGGATGAATGGATGTTTAAAGAAATGCCATGATTGTGTTGATGGATTAGGTGGAACTTTCTGCCCTTCATCTTTGATGCGCAGGCTTTGGCTTCAGTTTTCAACAAAGGGAAAAGTAAAAGATGTCTTGTCTTTTATTTGTCTATGGTTGTTGCTGGTTTAAAAAAATAATAAAATGTGTTCATGTTAATGTTTATTCACTTAGCAGACGCTTTTATTCAAAGCGACTTACAATTTTTACCCTATAGGACATGTTGTGATCTGTGGGGGAAACTGGAGAACCCGGAGGAAACCCACACATGCATGGGGAGAACACGCAACTCCACGCAGAAAGGCCGCAGCCGAGTTTCGAACCTGCGACCTTCGTGCTGCGAGGCAACAGTGCCAACCACTGCGCCACCATGCAGCCCTAAAAAGAAGACAATCTTTTATATAGCGCCTCTCAAGATAAAAATCACGAGGTGCTGCACTAAAACAAAAAGATTTCACAAATGATTAAAAGAGATGTTTAAAAGAAGAAAAAATGTAATGAAAGGTAGAGAGAAAATGATTAAGGAAGAGGGAAATCAGTGGATCATGGGAAAGGCGGAATAAGAACAGAATAAGGAGAAGGTGATAAAGGTTATTCAAAGCCAGCCTGAACAGGTGAGTTTCCAGCTGCTTTTTAAAGGAGACCACTGAGTCCACTGATCTCAGGCTCAGGGGGAGAGAGGTCCAGAGTCTGGGGGCCACAGCAGCAAATGATCTGTCACCTTTGGTCTTTAGCCTGGTGCGCTGCACAAATGGCTCTATGGGGTCTGGCACAAAATGGTGATCATTCACCTATCCTTTAATGAAAAGGTCAATCATTTCTCTTCCCATCCTAATGTTGCCATTTGACCTGTCCAAATAAAGCTGTAGGTCAGAACCTTTTCTAATAAATGTAAAGTAAGTCAAAAAAGATTACTTTCTTCTCCGCTTGCCGTTGGCAAGAATGGAGACAGCTGAACACGTGATTTCAGTGTGAGTTCAAACATTGGGCTTGTGGCCAAAATGTAGGTACTAATGAGAAAAGCGGAAAAGCTGCTGAGCTGTGGACGTGTATGAATCTAAATAATGACGAGGTTGGTGATAAAAATAGAGAAGTTTTTGAGCCAAAATAAAGGTTAATGTCCTTTATGTTGCAGGTTTTTTAACAAGACAGCAGAGTGATGGTTGAACAGCTTGGATGATTTTATATATATATATATATATATATATATATATATATATATATATATATATATATATATATATATGTGTGTGTGTGTGTGTGTGTGTGTGTGTGTGTGTGCTATATATATATGTGCTAAAATGACCCTTTGCAGGGTGATTGAAATGTCATTCAGACCTCCACCGTCCTCTGTGGCCAGAATACCGCACTTGCAACTTCAGTGTGGCAGGCCATCTGTTGGACTTAAAAAAAAAAGAGCTTGCATACCTGGCTCTGTTGTCTGCTTCCAGCACATTTTCTACATTATTTAGATGATGAACACAGCTGATTTGTTTGATTTAGTGATGAATCACTCCTGTAGACACTAATGAATGCCGAGGAGACATTTCAGCTGTTAGATCAAGGTGTTAAAAAGACAAACGCACAGCGAAGAGACGGTTTTCATTTTCAGTTTGTCCACAGATAATTAATAATGAACACTAGGGGGTGCTAAAATAAAATAAAAAAACTGCTAAGTATCCCTTTAAAATTTTACTTTTTCTCTGTATGATGAAACATATTAATTACCGTACCTTGGTAGATAGTCCTGTTTATGTTCATTTTTAGGTCTAGGGACCATGGTCCTGCCTATTAATGATCACCTTGAATGAAAGTCCGAATAGCCTCAAACGTGTTGCTTCCCAAAACGTGCTTCCCGCTTTGCAGGATCAATCACAGCACAGCGAAAATGTCAGCAAAAGTTTTCACCTGAAACAGTTCCTCCTGAACGCTTTGACGTAGGCTTTGGTTTTCCTTCCTGACACGCGTTCTGCTTTTTCATCAAATGTAAGGGCCAGCTTCCTGTTCTCTGAAATCCTCGCTGTCACAAACAAACAGGAAAATGGCCGTGCATATGAAGCGCCAGGCTGCTGCCTATAACAGGGGATTGCATTTCATCCATGGGACCTCATTAATTCCTTATGGGTGCTCATATCGATTCAGGGTGCCTCTGGTCCTGTTAATTCAGCTCCAGCCAGATGGGTTTAGATGCAGTTTGTGTCGCCCGAAGGTGACTGCCGCTTTGTAAGAAATTGGTGAATAGAAGCAAGAAAGATACAGAAGAGGAGAAAGAGATGAAGAGGCCACGCTAGAGAATGACACAGAAATAAAACAGACTATATCGGTGACTCCAGACAGAAAATAAATGCTACACTTTTACTGATTTCCATCTAAACACATTAGAGGTTTTCTTTTCACTCTTTTTAATAACACTCAAATCCTGCTTTAGAAATTGTAATTGAAGGTTTTTGGCGTGCATCACTTTGTGCCGGTGCTTGCAAAGCCTTCGTCGCAGAAGCATAAAACCGAGTGTAAACGTGTAAATGTTCATTACCCTTGAACAAATAAATCATTTCTCTAATTGGGCTGTAGCAAGAAGATGAGCCAACTTTTCTCCTTGTTTCTGGCAAAATGCAACCCGCCCTAGACCTGAAAGAGTATGGAGTGTTCGTGTCCCCTCCAGACATTTTCTGACCATTCCCTCAGACACAGAAATGCCATTATCAGCAGTTCAGAAGATGTTAAAAAGGAACATGTTGTTCTTTCTCCTGTAACTTTGCTACCAGGGCGAGAATGGACTGAGAGGAGTTATTTGTCATCATCAGGCTGAGTGCCTCGCTGGTGTCTGCCGGTCAAACTGTCTTGAACATTTTCATCTCTTTCTTTGCCCATAAAGTATTTTCTCTTCAGTTCTTTTTCATTTTCACGTCTTTCTCCTCCTCTTTCTTCTCAGTAGTGCCCATTCTGATTAAAGTTCCTGACACTGATCGTCCCTCATAATAAATATAAACACAATTAATGCTTTTATTTTTTAAAGTGGCCATGCAATGGAAAAATCACTTTCTGGAGCTTTTTACTATGTGATGTTATTTCCTCATGACAACTAAACAACACTTTTTTTATACTGCATTAAAGAATATTCCTGTTTCAGCTGTAAATTTTGAGTTTTACTTTGAAAATCCTGTAAAAGCTGAATGGAAACTAATCCCGTCATCAGCAGCCAGCACAGGATATGCGAGTTAGGCGACTAATACCATGTAGCAGACTTGGTAGTCCAGTGGTTAGTGCTTAGGCAGACACCTTAACCACGGGACTACCATAGCAATACAGAAACTGACTTGCCTAAAACACTGCTGTAAGCATGTTTTCTCATAGCGGACGTGGGCGGAGTTACGGATATATTTGCTCGTATTTAAGATAACTGACATCTCAAAAGTGCCAACTGTAATATTTGATCCTATATTCTGCATTGAACATGGCATGATATGGAACCTTTAACATCCTTTTCTTCTTTTACAGGTTTAGAAAAAGTTGGCAGAGACTCCAGCTACGAACAGGAAGGGAAGGTCCAGTTTGTGATGGATGCCGTGTATGCAATGGCGCATGCGTTGCACCGCATGCACCGGGAGCTGTGCTACGGATACCCGGGACTCTGCCCACGCATGGCCAACAACATAGATGGCAAAGAACTGCTTGGACACATCCGCGCTGTCAAATTCAATGGTAAGTTGTGTTCACTCCCTAGCTCCCTGAGAATGTTAGTTTGAATGGAATTAAATGCCAGCTGGAAGTGTCAGGGAAATGGATAGCATACATTATTCTTACATCCATTTGACTTTTGAGAGCTGCAATGCATTCAGTGCATTTCAATAAGTCTAAGCTGAGATGACTTCAACTCACTTTTACAATAAAGCTTGCATACATTCAGTAATGTCTCAAATTCTTGCTGTGTTAATTTGCAGAGAAGAATGGGCTTTTCAGATAAATAACAGTGCCACATAAAGCAAAGCATGATTCAAGACTTGGAGGATAAATCTTAGACCTTAAAGTTGGAGAGATGTTTGTTTAAAGTAATTTTTGATAAATTTGTCATTGAATCATTTTTAGTTCATATTTATTAAATGAACTAAACGTGTGTAACAAGTGAGAGAAAGAGAGAGCAAGATTGACAGGTGGATTGGTGCTGCGTCTGCAATGGTGTGGGCGTTGTATCGGTCCATGGTGAAGAGAGAGGTAAGCCAGAAGGCAAAGCTCTCGGTTTACTGGTTGAACAACGTTTCTACCCTCACCTATGCTCACAAGCTTTGGGTAGCGACCAAAAGAACAAGATTGCGGATACAAGCAGCCAAAACGAGTTTTCTCAGGGTGTCTGGGCTGTCCCTTAGAGATGGGGTGAGAAGCTTGGTCATCTGGGAGGGGCTCAGAGTAGATCTGCTGCTCTTCAACATCAAGAGGGGCCATTTGAGGTGGCATCTGGTGAAGATGCCTCCCTGGTGAGGGTTTCCAGGCACATTCAATGGAGAAAAGACCCAAAGGAAGACCCTGGACACGCTGAAGGGTCTCTCATCTGACTAGGGAATGCCTTAGGATTCCCCCAGAGGAGCTGGCCCCCATTTGATCCCAAAGTGTTAAGGTCTGGCGGTGGCCCGTGGGCCGCCAATTGAGGTTCACTGCTGTAGCATGTGAAGATCTTGCCTTTGGGCATTAAAACAAATTTACTGAGAAAAGTTGTTTTTTGAGAAAAGATGAATGAATGTTAAAATCCAAAAAGCAGTGGTTTTACCCCCCCAATTCTTCCATGTTACTATTGGTTCAGCCGTAGATATGAAACCCTTTTTAATGCTGTAGTGGAATGCACTAAAGAAGCTCACCTGCACAAACGGGCTCTCTTTATGTTTACATGCCATCAGAAAAATGGTTGTGCTGAATTTTCCCTCTGGAGACGGGCAGGGGAGCCGACATAGCACTTGTGTGTGATGATGTCACCCTAATGGGTTTGCCAACGTTCACAACGACACAATGAGTCCTCTGCAAAGGTTTTAGAGATTCTCCACCCACATTTCCAAACATTTAAGCTTTAGCTTTGGACGGATCAATGACATCTTTAATACGTCGTTCTGGGCATAGTGGTGGAGAGAGGAACCAGGAACAAAGAGTTTGTGTTAAATACGTTCTTCTTTAGAGGTCTATGGCTCAGAGGCTCCCAGCTGCACATGATGAGGTTAATGATTCATTTTTTCCAAACAGTAACAAGTGTTTGTTTGCTTATTTCTTTAGGGGATGATTCTTAATGCAGTGGCTGCTTGCCAGGCTTATTGTTATAATGGTAAATGTCAAAGTAAATTACCAGCTGTCCTGCTTTTATGTTGATATATTCATTTCTTAATACCAGTGGTTCCCCAAAGGGGTAGTCAGGGGTGAAACTAGATCGTCCGTAGATTTTCCTGCAAATCCTGCTAATTTCCAACTAGTATCAGCCTCTTTATTTGAAAACACTCTTATTAATCTATTTTCCCTTCCATGCGCCTGTTCCTTCATTTCATTTCCTGTGTACCTCTGCCCAGTACTGCATGGAATACATAAAATCGGATTAATTACGAAGCCAGGGAGCCTATGGAAAGGTTTTTGCATTGTGTAGATTAGACGAAGACTTGTCTGATTTAGATGTAAGATTAAAACTGCATGAATATGTCTGTGTGGGAACGTATGTGAAATCTGTGTCATGTTTGTTGTTTCCCAAGCCGTTCATTCGCCGTCGCTTGGAGTGTCAGAAAGCAATTCACAGGCAGACACTGATTGCTCTTTCATACTCCAGAGCAGGTTTATGCTCAGGTGTGTCGCTCAGTTATTGCTGACCTACAGGCGAAATAAATCATCCCATAAACGCAAGGTCACAAACTTAATCCCAGGATGAATCTTCAAAACCTCTCCAATCACTGAAAGCTCACAGTATGAGCTGCAAAAGTAAAAACTAGATTAAAGTGGTAAAATAATACAAGAATTCCACTTTTTGGTCACTCTGTTATCTTGTTGCATAAGCTGATGCTTCCTTCTGATAGAAAAATGCATTTTAGTTTATCACATAATCATTTTATACAGCCTGGAATGAAATAATAAAACATTCTTTGAAGAAATTTGTCCTTGAGAGTTAAGTAAGAGTGAGAAAATAGTTTGAATCATGCTGGTGTCAAAAAAGTCAATTATGTCATAAAGCATTGATATGATCGATATTCACAAGTTATGTTTAAAGGCACGTTCCTGAACTTTGCAGATATGTGTTCTCTGTCGCCCTCTCCAGGCTTGCTACTCTGTTGTGTTGTTGACACTTTGAATAATCGAACTAAATTTGCAACTGTGACTGAGATTTAAATCACTATCACTTAAATAGGATACTATTAATTAAATCCAAGTTTTACAATCTGAACAGCAGTCCAACATTTTCCACTTGCATAATTTAAAAAACAACAAATGTGTTGTTCCTTGTAAGGACAAAAAAAAAAAAAACACTGTGTCCTCACATGCCCCAACTCCCCTTGGTGTTTGTTACGACCTGGAGTTGATAAGATGAAGGAGGGTGGAGCGGTTAAACAAAGAAAAGTATTTTTTAGGTAAAGTTCTTATTCAAAAAGTTACTGAGCTTAACTAAAGCCTACTGCATCAACAGCGACCTCAGAAAAACACAAAACACTAGTACAGACCCAAAAGCCCTTATTGGGTGTTGACACTCTTAATAACCTAAAGAAGGAGAGTTTAAAACACTCCTTAACAACTGACAACTTAACCACAAATACGGTCTACTATTAAAGCTCAGGTACTGTCAGCACTGCTCTGTAGCTTGGCAAAATCAGACACAATGAGATTTCCACATTAAGAAGTCAATAAAACCAATGTCATGGCAAAACAAGAACACTAGCACCGAAAATGCTCAAAGTGATCCAGGGATCTCCGAGCTCCAATGAGTCCCACTCAGGTTTGATCTTCTGAGCCTTTTGAAGACTCTTCTGCTGGTCACTGATTGGGATCAGCTGTGCAAAAAACAGCAGGATGGGTGTGTGCGGGGGTGGTGTGTGTGTGTGTGTGTGTGTGTGTGGGGGGGGGGGGGGGGGGGGACGACAAGGTAGACATTGTTACACCACTGTCCATGTTGCTGGAACAAGTTGAGGAGGAGCGCTGTCCGTGGTGCTGAATATGGACAGAAGAAGAGAAAGACTATATTTTATATTAGAGAACAGAGGCATGTTACAGCGCTGTCCAGGATCGTCATGCTGGAACTGTAACGGTGTTGCTAGACATTTTCCGGCAGCTCTTCTTAACATTAGAATGATGTCTCTGGTCAATGAGTGTTTATTTACTTCCGCTTGTGATTGCAAGAAGCAGTGGCCAACAGACAGCTAGTTTTCATTCAGCTGGAACAGCTTGATCCCGTGGAATGAAATCGTAAAAAAAAAAAATCCAACAGGAGCAATGTGGCATCAGGTCCGAAATTATCTTGGGCGGTGGTTGGGTCGACCAATCACAGACATGTGCTCTCCATTGCATTCGACAAATAGAAGTAGTCAGAGTGAGTTGCAGGCCTTAATAGATAAAGAACAAAGTCACTTCCAAAATCTAAATTTACACTGAAACTCAAACATTTTAATATGCAGAAGAGACCTAACATTTAATTTCAGAGTCGCCCCTCCTTCTCCTTCCTCCTATTTTCCCTTTTTTTTAAAGTAAACATTAAAAAAAGCTCTTTAGTTTTCAAAAAACGAGCTGGACTCGCTAATCTGACTCATGTCCCTAAATTTCAGTTGTTTCTGATCTGTTGTATCTGGATCGATTTTGTTGCTGGAGCATCCTCATATGGGGTCCTCACATGTTAGCCAACATTGCAAACACTTTTCAGCATATTCCATGCTGTAGTTCTTTTTTAAAACACAGAACAGTTTTGTTTACCTGTTTTCCTGCTACGCAAAAAAAAAAAATAATAACTACCGCATGGAATTAGAGATACGACACAGCAAGAACTCACCTAAGACTTTTCACCATACATTTGTGCACAACAGTGTGTATAAAAGCAATATTTTAATCTCTAAAATACTTCAGTTTCAATCGAAAAATGCTTGAAAGGTCAAATACAAGAGATTTATGTAACTTTCACACTTAAGGCTATCTGATGTTCACATATGGTGCATGTTTTCTGCCACAAGTTTATTCTGAAAAGGTATAATTTGCTGTTAAGTTTATATCAAGTGAAGCAGAAAAAAACTCTTGAGTTAATGAATTATTTTATGTAGATGCAAATGATTTATCTAAAAAATGTAAACTAATTAGATTTGGATGAATTCATCCCAATAGTTCCAGAACTTAGACTTTTGTTGATACAGATTTTTGGACAATCTAGAAGAATTTAATATCTGTAACCCTTTGTTTACCATTAAAACGAGTTTTGGAAGCATAAAAATAATTCATTTTAATGTTCTTGTTCTTAGAGAACTTGGCGCATACTTATTTTTTTCTCCTCAATGTAACTGTTTTTAGGCCTTTAACATAAAGTCAGCAGTAGCTCAGGTGGTAGAGCGGGTTGCCTCATGATCGGAGGGTCATGGGTTCGATTCCAGCTCCCGCCAGGGGCATCCTGCTGTTGTGTCCTTGGGCAAGACACGTCACCTAACTTGCCTGTGTTAGTGGTGGTCAGAGGGACCGACGGCGCCAAATGGCAGCCTCGCCTCTGTCAGACC